ATGGAAGGCATCAACTTTTAGCAGTGAGTATGTCACAAGCATGAAAGTGGTTCTCTGGTACATTCACATCAAGATTGATACCCTAACTGATCAGGACACCCAAAGAGGAGTTGGGCTCAGGGGTTAAACAGATGAAATGTGATGTCTTACGATACACAAGAATGGATTCTGGCTTCCCCGTGAGGTTTAAGATCTTTTGAAAAGAGGATGCAGCAAATAGTAATTATGTCAATCAGCACAGATGCATGAACCATGTTGGTAAAATAAAGTAGCATGTTGAGCTTTTATTTCTGAGTAAGAAAGCCTGAGATAGTCACAATTAGGAGCAGTTTCCTTTGGTGCTAGGATGGCATGAAGTTCATGACCCCTAGCAGCTCTTTGCTATTCCTGTGAGGAATTGTAATTGAGCATTGTAATAATCAGCATGTTAGACATCAGCCTTTCCTTCTTAAGATTCAGCTGCTGCATTGGTAAGTTAGATTGCTTTCCAGAGTAGGTACAGGGGTGTGACCTGATCCAGAACAGATTCTTGCACTGCTCTGATGGTAAACTCTGTTCCTTCCATAGAGTTTCTCTCTTCAGTCACACTCCATTCCTGACTCAGCTCTATGACATTAAAATTTTAATGGTTATGGTGCTGTGGAGATAAATTGTATTTTCTGGTTTTTTCCTTTTTAAAACTGACTCTGTTAGACTGACCACACAAATAAAGCACTGAAATTGTATCTCAGCTTCTTCCCCCTTGTTGCAGGGATCAATGTTGACTGTTAAAAAATAAATCGGAAGGCAGGAAGTGAAAGGATCTATTTCAGAACTATGTTTTACTCCTGAGTACCTGCAAGTTTTTATCACTGACCCAGTGATCCTACCCAGATCACTTTTTTATAATGCATATAAGTTAAGGGGATACCAAATTCATCCTCTACTGACTTTTCAGCTGTATTTAAAGATGAATTTATCATAATTTCTAAATTCAGCCTTTGGGAAGGGGTTGGAGAGAAGAAGAGGTAATAGAGTACAGAGGAAGATGTGACATCACAACCTCTGGACACAGTGAAGAAAATGATTGCCACAAATGAAGATACATAGAAGAATTGATGTGTTCTCAAAGTTCCTGATAACTTAATCACATACCACAATGACAATAGTTTCAGAATGTATGTGCAGCCATACAGAATGAGTGTGTGTGTATATATGCACATATGTAAAAGATACATCCTTTTCTGTTTATTGCTATATATATGTACTCGTGTATTTTTTACTCTGAGATGGTAGCTCCAAGCTGTCACCCTCTCTGGTATCTTTGTTCAAGGGTGTGCATGCTGCTTTGTGCCTCTCTGTGTATGTGACAAAAATGTTCTCAGCTCTCACATTTGGAATTAAAATACTTCAACATAGTAATTCATATTGTGTTTATGTTGCAACTTATATCCAGCCTGTCACTGCTATAGATGACTAACCATTACCACAGAAGCCTAAAGGAATTGCTAGAAAATATTTTTATTTATAGTAAGCTTAACTGTATAATTAATTGACTGTGGCTTTCTAGCAGGAAGCAATGTCTGTGCCCATCGTTTCTTGGAATACAGTGAGGAGGAGGAGCAGGATTGCCTCCCCTTACTCTTTCACATAATAGTGATATAAAAGGAGATTTCTGTGGGATTGGCTGAACTCAGTGCCCAAAGGAATGCCTTGTTTCAAATGTTTTTATTTGTATGTGGTTAAAAAAGTACTAAAATTACTCAAACTTCATGTAACAGCTTCTGATTGATAGCCCTTTTTCAAATAGGGACCATTCCCTTGCAGCCCTGTCAGATTTTGCAGCCATGTCACATTGCACAGCACTCTGGAAAGAATTTTGCAGGAGCTGGTCTAATGTGGGCCATAGAGCAAGTTTTAGTTCAGAAACCTGCTCCAAACTCACTGCATGCTCAATTGGTTTTACTGCACGTCCAGTCCAGCCTTTAGTGACACTGGTTTAATTGCTGATCCTGCTCTGAATGCATTCTTAACTAGGCATGGGAGAGGTCAGATCATTTCTTCATGGGCTAGTCACAGGTTAACAGGAAAATAAAAGGGTAAATACTCAGCTTTCATGAGAGAGAAACTGGGGACTCCTTTTGTGGAAGGTGTAGTTGGATGACCAGAGCTGCACAGAAAATACACTGGAGCACTTCTCGGCCAGCAGAGATCCTCATCCCTGCAGGGCTCCTGTCCATGAGGCTGGACACACTGCTGGGCATTGGCAGGTTGGAAAATACCTGTAAGACCGTTGAGTCCAACTCATTGAGTACAGGCTCCCAGCAACGTGTTTATTTTTTAGATATATTTGAGTTTGCAGAGGAAGAGGTTTCTGTGGGCAAGGAATGGGCATAACCCAGGAAAGCTGCAGAGGGCCAATAACATCAAAAGTCTGTGCCATTATTATCTGAATTGATGCTTCTTCGATACTTCTGGAAGTGACATCCAGGTCTCAGCTAGATCCATCCTGCTTGGAGAGGTGGCTTTCATCTGCAGACCTCACCACCATAAATAGATTAACAGCTGAGGGGGCAGTAGAGGGGTGTGAGATGCTTGCCCAAAATAGCAGAGGAAGTTGAAGACTGTGTCTCATTATTAGTCATTACTTGCCTTGCAGGAGCATTTTTGCTTTTTCTGTAGAAGACAAGCTCACAATGGCATCTGCATTTTATGCACTTCTAAGAGAGGCCCCTGAATATATCCTGGGGTTTGGAAAAGCAGAGATGTATGAAATTTAAGTTTTCCACTATTTCAAACCTCAGTTGGAGTACTGGAAGAACAGACTGCTTTGTCATTTGTTCATTTCAAACATGTATGATCACACTCAATTCAAGTCTTTGCTTAAGGACTACATCCCTATTTCCCTAATACTTTTTATTCCCATTGAACTGCATTAAAAAAAAAAAAAACAACAGCCCTATGCCATCCCTTACATGTTTAAAATGTAAACGTGCATTTATAAAAACCTTGAACGTTTACTCAGCTGTGCTGCTGTGACTTAAATTTGCAATGGTCAAAGCATGCAGATGGCCCCAGTTTTCTTCAGTCACTAAGTGTTCTCAGCAGAATTTTCTGTTCTTGACTCAGGCTGTGCACAGCTTTTGACGTGTGCTGGTGCTGGCTGCTACAGAGATACACCCTGTGGCTGTGCTGCTGTGACTCGCTGCTCACCAGGCTCTGCAAGGAGCCATGAGCTGGGTGGAGTGTGTTCAACACATGGCAGACAACTCATCTCTGTCTTTATCAGGTGTCACTGGCTGGCTTGGTGCCAGAGGTTCCTGCAGCTGGGAGAGCGTTAGGTGTGACTGAGAGCCAGCTGGCTGGAGAGGTGGGCAAGGCCTCTCAGGAGCAGGGCACCAGCTCTAAAGGGGGCACAAGCACTGTGTTCATTTTGTGCCTTGGGCTGCTGCTGAATATCCTTGTGAGAGCTGGGCCCGCATTTCTCACGCTGCAGTGGCTTGGAGTTATTAGAAAATTGTGTTGTTCTTAGTGCTTCAGGGTTGATGTAAACAGAATCCAGAGTAAAATTCAAGGTGATTTACATCCTAGTCATGTGAGAAGGCACCTCTCTCTACAAGCTGCCCTCTGGTCTTTGCTATCACAGGCTGGAGCAGCACATTAGGAGCCTTTGGGGTTCAACATTGATCCCGTTCTGTTACCCTCCAGATGGGATGAGGGACTCCTTTCCCCAGACCTCACAGGCAGGCTGAGGCTCAGTGAAGCTCTGCTGGCCCTGGCTGTGGTTCCCTCTGCCTGTGGCATGTGCGTAGGTGTTATTTGTATCAGAGCTGAAGTGAAGGAAGCAGCTGTTCCTGCTCTGTGTCTGCAGTGACTAACAGGGAGAGCTGCTCAAAACCCACCCAAGACCACAGAATCATGTAACTTCACAGGGCAAATGCAAGTCCTGGCTGGTTCTGCAGAAGTGTAGTGAAGAGTCTTTGTCTGGGGCAGGGAATTGTATGGTCTGGTGAGGGAAGAAGTGAGTTCTCAGGCATGTGGGATCCAACCAAGAGTAATAATGTAGTGGTGCAGATTGGAGATGGAAGATGCCTGTTGACTTTTCAAGGATGACCCCGGTGCAAAGCTGACACACATTTCAGTTGCTGTTTTTCCAGTTGCACAGACTTTAGAATACTATGTCAAAAACAGGAAGAGGTGGGAAGAAGCAAGATGACATCCTCAGGAAAGGGTTCTCCAGTGCACACAAGTATGCCTTACATGTTCTTTTCACTTGAAAGAAGAAATTCTTGTCATCAGCCACAGGAGTTTCTGATGATCACATGTCAGTACTTATCTTGGAAAGACTACAACTACTCCCTTCAACCTAGGAGCCACATTTAGGGAGTGGATTGGCATAGGACACCAGCCCCCACATCCATCTGTTAACAGAGCAGGGACAGGGACAAAACTCAGAAAATGTGAAATAGAATCAATCTTATCGGCAAATACACTACAAATTTAAGCATAGAAAAATTTACTGGTTCAGCCCTTGAATCACATTAACTGGTACAGGTGTGGTTTTTTCAGTGCAGATGTAATGATTTATCTAGTGTAGGGTATGTTCTTAGTAGTTGAAAAATGTTTTCAAGCTTTACACAGACTCAAAATTCAATTCAGCAACGATAACTTTTTCCTGGGTTTTAAGTTAGCTGCTATTGCTATTGGACTACAGACAAATGCACCATAACCAAGTGGCTTTTTTCTAGCTGTAGTTTCTAGAATGTGACCAAACACAGAAGATTTTTGCAGAAATTAAGAAATCTATTTATAGCAAAAGTAATGAATCTAAGCTCAAGATGCTAAGTGGATTTGGGGAAGACTGAGCATTTAAATACCACCTAAAGAGAAAACATGTATTTCATAAGAATATTCTCTGATAACTAATGAGGTACCTGTGCTTCACACAGGTTAGACTTCTGTTTAAAAAATGAGCCATTTGATGTTTTACTACTGTTACATGTTAATCAAACTCACAAAAGTACCAAAATTAATGAAATTTTATTGGCAAAAATCAAGTTGAATGTGACCTATTGAATTCAACAGAAGCGAGCCTCAGTTTAGTTTATCAAAATACTTCAGTTTTCCAGCTGGATCTGGAATTATCTGTGCAAGAAAGAAAATGAAAATATTAGTCAAAAACCAAAGCCACAAAAACATAGCAAACTGTAAAGCCAGAACAGCACAGTATTTCACAGTAAGATGCTACTGCCAACTCACTTGCAACATTCAAGAGCAATTTATCACTTGATTTGGTACTAGATTACTGTTCATCTCTAAAGGTACCTAACAGCAGTAGCAGAGAGATTCAACCAACTGAGGCATGAGAGAGTGCAGCCTACCAAAGGAAGGATTTTGACAGCTTGCCCCAAAAGCAAGATATTTTGGTAAAGTAGTATCTGTAATCTAGAGGCTCAGAATTTACTTACAGTTCTTCCCTTGGCCACCACACTCTCATGGCTTCCTCTGGTTTGATCTAATTAAATCAAACACATTTAGAAGGCATGACTACATCTTTGAGAAAGGCTTTTTCAACTACTCTGCTATTGTCTGTATCTTTTGCACAGAGCAGGTGAAGAATGCTTATGTACTGTTTCACATTACTAAATTGGCAATGCTGTTAGTATCAGCATTGTAAGATTGTTTGTTAGAAAAAATATCAATGTCATGTTATCTAGGTGATCCTAGTTATGGAGGGCAGAAGTTTTCAGTGCCAAAATACGAATGTTGGGCCAGCCAGCCCTCTTTCATTTTTACAGTCTTAATATCCAGCTTCCCCCATTATGACACTCCTCTGCTAGCTCGCAAAAATTGAGTCCCAGCCTCAAGTCATCCTAGGAAACTCTCCCATCCAGCAAAGAAACACGGTTTAACATTCCACTGGTTTTACTATGAAGTACAGTGCCCACTAACTCTGCTTAGAGGCTACTGGGACCTGGTTTTGGTTGAGCCAGCTCTTTAACAACAGTGCTCTGTCATCACCAGATGGTTCAGAAGGAAGCCACATGGTCAAGTGACAGTGATCTCATCTGAACGAGGCAGCTCAGTGAAAGTTTCATTATTCTGCTGAGGCTCACTCTGAGCCAGGGAACACAAACAAGTTCAGTGAGTGTTTATGTGAACTCTGGCTCCTCTGCCTCCAGTCACATGGAGCCCAGGAGTAGCAAAGAAGGGAGGGCAATTGCACTGCAAAGCAGTGCTCCCTGCTGGAGTGCTGACAGTGGCACTGGCTCTGGCACACACCACAGCAGCCTGGGAACTTCTGTCTGTCTTTTTTTAGGTAGTGCCCAGAATGTGCAGTAAGAACCACCAAGAATTTGTATGGACAAATAACCAAGAAGATACAACAAACTCAAGAGTTTTGAACTTTCCCTCATCAGGTGTTAACAGGAAAAAATTCTTGATCACAAACTCACTGCTGATCAAGTGAATTTTGTTTCCAAATTCCACAAGGAGTTTGAAACAATTGGGAGATGTCTAGTGGGAGGGAAACAATCCCCTAATGAAATCAATAGAATGCAAATGGTGTAAGTTTAATAATGTGACTTTACTCATACCTTCTCACTGAAAGTTGCTGAGATTTTGTATTTGGCTCTAATAGAAATGGTAACTGAGTGCTTGTTAGTACTACATGCATATTAATATAAACAGTGACTTACTGTTTCACTGCCAGGTTTCCAACCAGCAGGGCAAACTGAAAAAAAAAAGGGACAAAGTTAGCTCAAGTATTTTTACACACACAGACTTTTGTGTGCTTAATATGCTCTTTCTGACCTTAAAGTAAAACACCATGAAGTGTCACATGTCAATATCTGAAACTATTAAATGTGCAGTTTTCTTTACACATGGGATGGTGACCTAGCAGTTTACACCTGACACCACCCACCACTTCAGTGACCTGAAAACTGCAGATCTCTGGATGGATGCCTACGCCTTAGTTTGAGTCTTGTGCCCTTCTACAGTAAGTACTGTCAAAGCAGTATCTGGGAATGAACACCTATTCTAGTAAAACAGAAGTTTTGCAATAGAATTCAGGTGACTACATAGAGACCTACCTTTCTTTCTTTAAAACCAAAACTAGGAGCATTTTTTAGCAAAGGGATCTGTTCAAAGATTTCACAAGAGACTAATTTTATTTGTAACCTTGCTTAGGAGCAAAGCATGTGCTTACCACAGTGTGGCTGGGACCATCTGAGCAGCTGCATATTCTGGAGTAAAGCGCTCATCTATTCAGAGCTCTCCCTCTGAGGCTTCAGCCCAAGCAGTTATGTCACATTACACTGCTTTAAGACAGGCTGGCAGAAAAAATACCCCACATGCTAGTAGGAATCGTGGAGAACTGTTATTCTGTGCAAGGAAACCAAGGAGGTGTCTACAGAAGCTCTCCTCAACATTCACATAAAAGCTGGGAAAAAAAGTGGTATTCTGTAAACACTGCAAATCAACATTCTGTTAGCTGGCTTTACAACTAAATGTGGGTAAATTTCCTTAGTCAGATGTGCATAGCCTAAGTATCAGCATCTATTTTTTCAAGTCTGTACAGCACAGCAGAATAATGATTGGTACTTTCATATAAAGGTACTTTCAAATGCTTGGAGACATTGAGTTGAAGTTAAGTTGCTAAATGTGTATTCAAATCTAAACAAATCTTCAAATTAAGTTATTTAAAGAAATGTGAAAAAGTTCACCCCATGCTTGAACTGGAGGAATAAGAATTCTTGATACAAAGTCTTTACTGTCTGAAGACAGTAAAATTGCTTTGTTGGGGAAAGATGATCACACAGCAGTTATACAGAAAACATAAGTAAAGGTGCTATAATTTCCACAGTATCACTATGTATCTTGACATGAAACACTCATTACTTGTCACAGGTCCTCACTGAATGACACAGGACAAAGATGGCCTGCATGTCCATTATTTTAGTATGCAAAAATGTACTGAAATATTAGGCCTCATTCTTCACAGCCTCATATTTAGTACAATTTATGCTATGCTTGTGACACATGGTACATAATGCCAAAATTCTGACTAGAGGAATGTTTATGCTCTAATTCTCATGGATGTGAAGCAAAATGTAAATTACTATTCTAGAAACAACCTAAGGACCTGGGACCACGGAATCAAGCAGGGCAATCAAACCACTTCAGTCACTGTATGAGGCCACTCATTAATGCTACTGAACATCTTTCCTCCAAAAAGCTAATACAGATTCCAGGCTAAGTAAAACAATCTTCAATATGGCAATACTTAAAAGAGCACCTTCTCCATGTTTGTCTGTGTACTGGAATGCTTGTACTAAACGAAGTGTTTCATCCACGGATCTCCCAACAGGAAGGTCATTCATTGTGATCTGTCGAAGGATTCTCTTATTGTCAATAATGAAAAGGCCTCTGTAGGTAAAAAAAGTGTGTGTGTGTTAGGAAACAGAATTAATAATAGTGGTGTTTTCATGCACTATTTTATGTCTGCTGGATGAGAGGAATTTGATCTTTGCAAACACCATGTAACACTCACCACCAGTAACCTACTATTCTTTACCTGGGTATCAGAGGACTTGAGCTGAGCTCCGGTTAAAACCAAAAAAATATACTTTGCAGAACATAGAACTAAGCTCTGACAGGCCATGCCAGGGGATGCTGCAGATGCTAGGACATTACAGGAATCCCAAAAGAAACTATTCAGTTTTAGGCAAATCTATCTCTTCAGGTAATCTTAGTCTTGACTCCACCTGGACTTGGGAGGTCCCTGAGCAACTGCATTCTGGGGAATCCTGCACATTGCACTGCCCTAGGTATCTACTGAAGCCTGCTGTTAAACAGGATATTAACCTTGATCCCTCTTCTGACTCATTATGACTACATTTTTGGTGTTCTTCAATATTTGCTACTTGCCATGAATCCCCAAGTAAAAGCTGCTCGAAAAGAAAAAAATTCAAATGCTTCTTTAAATATAAAGCAGTAACTATTACCCCAGCAAAAAACCCAACCAAACTGCAACCCAGTGAAATACCTAAGTGTATGTCCTTGATCTTCCAGATACACTCCATAATCCTTTGAAATCTGGTGTGTCAGATCAGAAAGAAGGGGAATCTTCATTGGTCCAAGTCCTCCTTGTTTACGAGGAGTATTAATCCTTCAAAGGAAAGGAAATATAGATGTATTTCTCATACAGATTTATATTCCCTACACAAGTCAGAAATCACAAACTACATCAGTATGGACAGAAGGATTTAGTGCAAGTGACATTTTTTCTGTTCTGCACACAAAGGAGATGAACAGTATTTGTGGCTTGAACAAAATGTTCAGTACATCTTTTGCAGTTTTGGCCACACCTGTTAACAATGACCTTTTTCTTATCAGTTGCATTTGCTTTATACCAATGTGCTCATGACCTGGAACAAGTCAAGCTTTTACTGATATTTTCATTAATATTTTCTTTTTGTATTAGTGGTACTTTTTGGACTGAAACACGACATATTGCAAGCAATACACATTAAACAAGCTTAAAAAATAAAGGCACTTTCACATACTAAGGTTAAAATTTACCTTAAACATTTGTGTCAATAGCATCACTCTCACACACTATGATATACCTCCACAGGCTAAAAATATGGGGATTACTGTTCTTTTGCTAAGTTGGAACTATGAGTAATGTTTAGTGAAAGACAAGAGAAAGATACATACCATGCTAAGTGAGTGAATTTTGAGTCCACAGAACATGCTACTACTTCAGTATTTATTGCTCTGAATTCTTCAATTCGGTCACTGAAGGCAATTATCTCAGTTGGACAGACAAATGTACTAGATGATTGAAGACAAGATAACAAGACAAAATTTCATGAGAAAGCCAGTAAATTCTCTGCCTAACTAAAAATGGTGTATTTATCATAAATTATTTTAGCTTTTGCTTATTTTTATTGCTCTTTCAAGTATTTAACCAAAATGCTGCTTGACAAATCCTCCACCCCTAGACTCCAGCTTAGTTACAAATGGATTATTTCTGAAGACTATAAATCCACAGTTATTTTACAATCTGTATTCAGAGCTTTTACTGTTACTTTTTTTTAGACTTTACAAATGTGGCTGAATTTAAGCACTATCAGCCAATTTTTCCACAGGATCATACTATAATTTGTTGTTACTGTGCAAATCTGCAACTTTTAACTAATTTGTCTTCGACTTTTTCTATTACAGAAGAACTAAAGTAGTAAAGCTAATGATGATATAATATTAAAAGCAGTTATGCATCTCTGTCCTCTTATCTTCATTTTGTGGAAAAGAATGGGATTGTCCTTTAAAAAGCAGAGATGTTTTCACTCAACCAGTGAAGTTACTGCATTCTAAATAAAGGATGTCAATGCTAAGTGCCCATAGGATGCTATGGGATGAGTTTAACGGGAAAATGCCACCTCCTGGATATACTATATACACTCTAGAAAGGATGCTTTCTACTTGCAGCACTGATTTACAGCATGAAACAGAACACAGAGTATGGCCTAACTGGGTAACTACAAAGTTGTTTGTTTTGTGTGGAGACACAAATTAGTGGACACGGTTCTAGGACAAAGACTGTTGCAATTTTACCAATGCATGATGAGAAAACAAATGCAAAGAATATATTTTCTTCTGTCACTCCTTTCTTCTCTCCCAAATTCTTACCAAACAAAAAATACAAGACCTCAAAAAAAATTTAATTAATTATTAATCTAATTGTAGCTGCACTCAGTGGTATGCCTACAGTGTTCTTACTTACAAGTCAAGAGGATAAAAGAAGAAGACAAGATATTTTCCTTCATAATCTGTTAGCTTCAGCTCTTTAAACTCTCCATTAATGACTGCTGTTCCCTCCCAGTAAGGCGCTGGCTTGGAGACTGAAATGCAAAGAATGTTGAATTAGAAGTCAGAGTATAACACCTGTGTTCAAACCAAGCTGTCCAAGGACAGCTGTTCTTCCTTTTGCTTGAAAAACAACCTGCAGCACAGGTCCAAGATGAAACTGCTTTCCAGTTCTAAACAGGAGGTACAGAATGATGAAGAAATGAAGGCTTTAGTACACATATAAAGTAAATAATTTGACCAACGTGTGCTCATACATGAGTGCTGCTGATCACTGATAATCAAGGCCACACAAACCTTATCTGGGCTGACTGAAAAAACCCTGTGTGTACTGCCAGCAAGGCACCTGCTAGACTGAAGGGGAAAGCTCTTTCATACTTCAGGTACTCTCATTGTTCTGTTAAAAATAGCTGTTGGGAGCCAGAAGCACAAAATAGTTCAAATTCACTTTGCTACTTTTTAGCCATGGAAACCTGTCTGGAATTCTGGTCCACAAAAAATATATGCCACAACATGGTTAAAGACAAATGTCTAAAAATGCAACATATGTTTATTAAATTACAACTCCTAAGCAAATTTTAACTTGAAGACAGCTGTGTTTTTAAAAAATATGCAGTTGAGAAGCATGAAATATATTTACTATTCCTATCAGAAGGGATTAACCTTGAATTTAAAATACTAAAAATTAATCTGTCAGGTACTATTTTCATACAACTATGAATTCTGAGACAAAGGATAGGGTATGCTGGAATTAAAAGGTGGTCTGAATACACTTGCCATGTCAAGGACATTGACATACATATCCAACAAATTAGGGAAAAGCTTCTGAGAGAAACATATGGAATCTTAAATATTATCTGGACGGTGCCTGAATTGTTTGGCTCTCCTTTCCTTAGGACAACCCACAGCTGCAGAATACAGTTAGCAAGGATGTATAACAAGGACCTTCATATTAGGAGGGAGAAGAAAAAGATATTAAATGAAACACTGCATATCTTGACCCCTTTCTAAATTAAGGTAGTTGTTTTTGCAGTTATAAACATCTGTAATAACTTAAACCGCAAAGGGAGAAAAACCCAAACGGCATCGGTTACAAATATCTTGGCTCCTTCTCCTTTTTTTGGGCTTTTTTTTGGTAGCATCTGCTTGCAGACGTTTAAAACCGAACGTACACCCTGGCTCAGTAAAGGAAAAGGATTTCAAACTGAAGATACTATCTGTGAGATCTCTCTGTGCTCTGTGTCCTGCAGGACGGGACTTTGAGCAGATGTCCCTGAAGAGCTCACAGCGATGCGCTTCACGGTGTTTGTGCCCGCGTCTGTCCCGTAACGCTTTTAAACCGCACCGGAGCACAGGCACAAAAGCAGCGCCAAAGCCAGCGGCGGGTCACGACGGGGCCCGTTCATTGTTTCTCATCCAGTGTGAGCACAAAACATTCCTGTGGATCCCCTGAAGCGCTTCCTTGGACTCGTTCGCCATTTCTGGAACCACGGACCTCGCTGGACGCCGGTGAGACGGCGGCGGTGACCACGATGCGAATGCAGCTCGGCAAGGAGCCGGTCCGCCCTCCCGCTCCTTCCCTCTCCCCGCCTGCCGGGGCCGCCCCGGAGGCCGCAGGCAGAGCCGCCGTGGGGACGGGAAGGGCTCGGGAGCCCCGCGCTCGCCTGACGTGGCGCTGCCGCCGCCCCGCTCCGCGGCGCCGAGGCGCACTGCGGGCACATCCCCGCCCCGGCCCCGCCGCTCCCGCAGCCCCGGCCGCGCCCGGCACCTACTCTTGGCCTGGCTGAGGTGCAGCGAGTGGTCGGAGACGGGCAGCCGGGCCGCCTCCCCGGGGTACACCTGCCCGCCCGCGTAGTAATGGCACTGCTCGTCCCCGCGCTGCCGCGCCGGGCGCGGCTCCTCCGCCTCCGCTTCGCCTCCCAGCGCCGCCGCCAGCAGGAGCAGCAGCAGCGCGGGGCGCCGGGCCCCGGCCGCGCCGCCCGCCTCCATGTCCCGCCGAGCGACTGCACGTCCCCGCGGCGCGGCGAGGGGCGGCGGCGGCGGGGAGGAGCTTGGCCGCACTCCCTCCCGCCGCATGGCCTGGCCGGGCCGGGCTGGGGCTGAGGGGGGCGGGCGGGAGCCTGAGGGGCTGGGGCTGTGCCAGCCCGGACCTCTGCGCAGCCAACTCTAGAAAGGATGCTGAACCCCAAAACCGGCACAGGAACCCCAAAACCGGCGCAGGAGGCCCTTCCCGGCACAGGAGCCCCAAAAGGGCACAGGAGCCCCATCCCGGCACAGCCGCCCCGGGCCCTGCCCCGTCCGTGGGGCCGGGCGCCGAGCGCGGGCAGTGCTGGCCGGGCTGCGGACCCGTGCTCCGGCCTCGGAGGAACGGGGAATGAAGTACGTGTGTAGAGAGAGGGGAAAGAACGCGTGTGTGCGCAGAGAGCGCGCGTATCGGGAGTGACCGCAGAAGGAAACTGATTGTGAGAGGCTCCCCATCTGCTATCATCTCTCATCTGTGGCTGCGTGGGTTCTGTGGGCACGGCGGCGCTCGCGGTCAATATCCAGCTGTGCCAAATGCAGATTGTGCATTCTGACCTCGTGAATTCAGGAAATGCAGAGAAGGAGTATTGCCTCAGGCCCCAAACCTTGCATTGTGTCCAGCTGGGTAGCGGCTCCTGAATGGGCACCATGTAGTGCACGTGGTGACTGTGTAACAGTGTCCTTAGACAGAAACTAAGTGCCTTAATTCACAGAAACACGAAATGGTTTGGGTTGGAAGGGACCTTTAAAGATAATCTGTTCTAATACCCCTCCAATGGCAGGGCCATTTTCAGCTAGATCAGGTTGCTCAGAGCCTGTCCAGCCTGACCTTGAATGTTTCCAGGACTGGGGCATCCACCTCTGGTCAGCCTGTGTTCAGTGTTTTGTAATTTGAAACCATTGCTCCTCGTCCTCTCACAATAGGCCCTGCTAAAAGGTCTGTCCCCATCTTTCTTATAAAGCCCCTTTAGGTACTGGAAGGCTGCTCAAGGTCTCCATGGAGGTTTCTCTTCTCCAGGCTGAACAACCTCAACATTTGCAGAGGAGATGCTCCAGCACTGTGATCATCTCTGTGACTCAGATGCCTTGGTTCAAGTTTGCCTTGTGAGAGGTCATTTATGGTTGTGTTCAAGGGTCCCAGGACGAGGGAAGAGATGAGAATCTTGACTCCGTATTTCAGAAGGCTGATTTATTATATTATGATATGATATTACATTATATTAAAATGCTATACTAAAACTATACTAAAAAGAATAGAGAGAAAGGATCCATCAGAAAGCTGGAAAAGAAAGGAATGGAATGAATAACAAAATCTTGTGATTGCTCACAGCCTTGACACAGGTGGCTGTCATTGGTCATCAAGTAAAAACAATTTCACATACTGGGTAAACAATTCTCCAAATCATGTTCCAACGCAGCAAAACATGGAGAAGCTGAAGCTTCCCAGCTTCTCAGGAGAAAAGATCCTGGCAAAAGGATTTTTCACAAAATATGTCTGTGACAGTAATTTTTCTCAGTGCTGAGTGGATTGTGGTTCATATCACAAAATGATCACATATGTCGCAGATAAACATGGATAGAATGTAATTCCACAGTCCACTAAATAACAAAATTTTGAAGATTGTAAGTAGGCTTTGACAAGCAGTTGGTAAGGCTTTGCAGCACAATTTCTGGTTGAACTAGGCATACCTATTGGACAGGGACAGGTCAGGTCATCTGTCAAGTGTATAAATTAAATTGTACCCAGGGTCCTTAAAAATAAGGGTGTGAAAGAGCTGGAGCTGTCCCTTATCAAAAGTGTTGACCTTCTGTGCTTTGAGCACTGTGGATGCCATCCTCTGGGAAAACTGGTGGTCCAGTAGAAGTTCTCCAGACTGACGATGTCAGGAACATCTGCACTGCAGCCTGTTTCTGCAGATGATGTGTGATAAATGCTTCAGGATGCTGTGGTACCTGTGCCATAGGACACAGAATGGACAGTACAATTTCTCTCTTTTTTTTTTTCCCCCTCAAATGATACAGAACAGAGCAGAGGCAAAAGAATATGCTGAGAGCCATTTTCAAAGAATAAAAGCTTAGTAAAAAAAGAAAAGGATTAGCAAGGCACCTATGATTATATGTTGTGTCTTGAAAAAATCCTAATATTTTTGTGGTTTCCTGTAACAGATTTCTCTCTTTAGGAGGATACAAAATTAAATTCACAGGAGTGGGAGAAACAAGATCTTGCAGGCATGCTTGGACTTAACCTGTGCATTTAGTGTTCCTTTCTCCCAAAGCTTGGACTTCTCTCCAGAAAGGTCTCCTTTTCCTTCCCATCTCTTGTGGTATTTGCCTTTAAGTTCCAGTCTAGGTTTTACAAGTTAGGGTCATGGCACTCATATCCTTACTGCCACAGTAATGTCTTCTTGGGCCCACCTGAAGGCAGTGGATTGAAGGAATTGAAGATTACTGAGGGTCAGAAGTGTAAGGCTCTGGGACAGCCCTCTCATGAGTACAGGAGCAAAACACCTGCATATTTACCAGGCTTGATCAGCATGTGTGGGATTATGAAAAAATGGTATTAAATGTCTGCCTAAAGGGGAAATGGACTTGATGGCACACGAGATCCCCTTGTCCTGGTTTTTTCACAGGGAGTTGGTGGTAGCCATTCTCTGTTTATACTTCCCCAAGTGTTGAAAGCAGAATAAAACATGTTCTTTTCAGTGCTGCTGTTTAAGTATGACACCCCTCCCGTATCAAGATCATGTCATTAAAAGGAGGATGAAGAAAACCCGTTTGCTCATGTTAAGCACTCTGGCTGTGGTGGAAAAAAGCACTTAAAGAATCTGTGTATTCCCACTGATCTCAGATCATCAGAATCAGATGAGCTTTGCATTTAAGCTTGCTAAAATGTGTTGATAGATTACTGTCTTACATGATCTAACTGAATTTAATATCAAGCTTCCATCAATCTCAGTGCTCATAAGAAAAGTGGCACTCACGGGCTCTGTGAGTTCACAGAGGTTGGCCCTGCTCTTTTCTTTGTGCTGCTGTTTTGAGCTGTAGGAAATGGCATGATTAGAAAGGTAGACATACAGTAAGGTTGAAAAAAAAAAAGGGCATTTGCAAGATACGGACTTTGCATAATATTAACATCCTACAGTTGAAAGATATTGCCATGTATTTCTAAATGTGAGAGAAAACCAGTAAAATCAATGCAGTAAAAATAGAAAAAAAGCAGACCTCTGGTGGGTGGAGAAAATTTTGAAGGACAAAAATGGGTTTTATCTGCAGAATATAATGTTAGTTTAATAGCACTAATTTGAGGTTTATATGTGATTAAGTATATATGGTCATGGAACAGAGTTCAAAAGAGCAACAAGAAAGACTTTCTGGCTGATGCTATACTCTCAAGATTTCCGCAAGCGATTAAAAAATGAAAACAATTCATAAATGGAATCCATGATGAAATGCAAATATATATCACTCTTCAGAGTCTAAATGGAGAAGATGGGCAGCAGTCTTTCTTTCCCCAGTGATTAAATACTTGACTGAATGCTGATTGTTGTGTTTGAATTGGTGATATTAAGTGATGCTGTTAAAATGTGATAAGAGAAACACTGCTACCTTCATGCTGTTACACAGCTCTTCTGAAGCTGGGAAGGCTCAGCACGTGTAAAGGGAAATCTCTTAAATCCTTCCTTTCCCCCTCTGCACTCAGGCAGTGTTCCTCCTGTCATGCTCTGTCCAGGCCCATGAGCAACGTTCAGTTTTGGGAAAGGGCTTGATAGTGGCAGGATGTCATTGCCACAGTGGCACTGAAGTTATGTAAACATAACTTGTTTTATGATTTATGTTACTGAAGCAGTTTAGAAGTGGTTATGGAAGTTCTGTGTGGTAATAAAATACCTCACTGCAATTTAAATAACCAAACATAAAAATATCTTGGAAAAATTAGTGTAATATATTGTAGCAAGATACCCATCACCATTTCCTGGACCAGATGGAGCAGATGTTCAATATTGTACTGGTGAAACTAGCAGTTGGTTTTATCCTCCTCATGGTTTACAGGGACATTTTAACAAATATATTGCATTGCTCATCATGCATGACAAAAAAAATCTATAGCATAGGAAACTTTGCTGGAGAAAGGAGGGTAGAAAACTTCTTTGTGTGAGAGGGATTGGAACAGAATGACCATAATTAATATTAACAGTTAGAGAAGACTTCTCTTTGGCTCTCGCTGAGGCCAGACTGGTGGGGTCAGCTGTGTGTGTGCTGGCTGTGAAGGGGCCTTGAAGAAAAAGTGTATCAAGCTGAGAAGTGTTGGGTGCTGCCATTTGCTTTAACAGAGCTGCATCCTGCTGACTTCTGACTGCTGTTTGTGTTGTCAGCTAGTGGAAGCAGTGTGACTGAGTAAACATAAACATACGCTTTGTAAAACCTGCCACTTTGTACTATAGAAGCATCATAGATGTGTTTATTCCTGCAGCCTGCCTTTGGGGAATGCATTAGTGTTTAGAGATGAATTTATGTTTTTCCTCTGCAAACACACCTGCCATAGAAAAGTTCTGCTTCATTTCCTTCTCCTCCAGCCAGCTCTGCTTCCTATGTCATTGGTGTCAGAAGCCCTGCAGGGCCTGTGGGATAGGAGCAGGGCAGAGCAGGGTACTGATGTGTTTGACTGAGCATGGCAACAAAGGGTGGTTGGTGCTGCTAGTCACTGGGTGAGGGGGGAGCATGGTTTCTAAAGCACCTCTTTTCCAAGCTTTCTTCTGCCTCTGTAAGTGCTGACAGAATCTGCAAGTTTGTGAATAAAAACAAACATTGTGAAACCACCTTCCTGAGTTAACAAATCATGTGGTCCTTGCAGGACCTCATCAGTTTTCCTCTGGCTGTCACCTGGGGGTGGGTTACAAGTGTGTTTATGCTCTGTCTCATTTTTTCTTCCTTTAACAAGACTGTATTCAAAGAAAGTGCCCAAAACACCTCTGTGCACTAGCACAATTTTTTGGCCAGCTGTACTGATGAGGACAGAGAAAGTCAGTACTGAACAGCACCTGTTAGACGTATGCT